TTAAATTAAATTAATTAAAGGAATTAAGCAAATTTATTTAATTTATTATAATGATATATTTTACCTGTTTATCAAAAACATGTCTTGTTGAATTAAATAATAAGTTTATTCTGTCCATTGAATGAAATTTAAAAGGCTGCAGTATATTGACTGTACAAAGGTAACAAAATCAATAGTTTTTTACTTGAAAACTTGAATGAAAGAATTGATAAAATATTAAACTGTCTCTAATTTATTTAATTTGAATTTAAATTTAAAGTTAAAATGCTTTAATAAAATTATTAGACGAGATAAGACCCATCATCCTGAATGTAGTTAACATTCTTCGTACCTTCATTTACACTTTCGATAATTACTTTCATTTTCCTGATATATAAAAAAGAAACAATTAAATATTATTATCATGATTTTGATATTTCTTATTAGGTGTCAATAATCGATCATTTAAAACATATTAATGTCTAACAATTGTGAAATAAAAAATAAGAGAATAAACCAAAAAGAGATAAAATAAAGAAGAGAGGAGAGGAGAGGAGAGACGGGGTTAAGAAAAGGGGGGAAACGATCGTGAAGGAAGAGGTAATAAAAACGGAAATGAAGAAAAGAAGAGAACCAACAACACCAGGGGTCCGATGAACCTGCGAGGCTAATGTACTCTCTTGGACTCACCGTCGTCGTGGGCTTCGATGTTTTCCGTAGTAGTTCCGTACTTGTGCCACACGTGAGAGCTTGCCATATCGCGTGCCCTGCATACCCTTCTTCCTTCTCTCTCTTTTTCTTTTTCTCTTTCTCTTTCTCTCTTTCTCGTACTCTTTCAATTCCTCTTTCTTTCACTCTCCCACTTTTATTGCCCCCCTCTCTTTTCCTCGTGTAGGGAACTACAGCGCCACCACCACCACCATTACCACCCCCACTGTCCTATCCCCACCACCATGCATACACTTCCACATCTATCCCCACTCTTCCACTTGTCATGAAACTCTCGTGCGCGCGCACACACACATATATACTCGTGTATATACATACGTACCACCCATCATGCATATACATAAGGGTACGATAAGCAATCCATTCCTATCCTATTAACTATACTTTTTTTTTTACCATAGCACAAGCCCCGCCATGTGAGGAACCCTTCTGCTTTTGCGTTTGTGTTTGCTGTTTTTGCCTATACCGAGAGTGTTAGTAGTCGTTGCTCTTCTTCTTATATCGTATGGTTCCCCTTATTTCTATCAATCCATCCCTCTTTCTCACTCCTTACCCATCCCTATTCCTTTCTCTCTGACACATCTGTTTCGTGGTGTCCCTCCCGTATATGTATTCGGTTCAAGTCTCATTCTCGATCACCACAGATGATCGTCGACATCGGTTCATCGATATTTCTTCGCAGAAAATTATTCGACGATATATAAAAATGGACTCATTCGTAGATTATTTTGTTTTAATCATACCGATTTATTTATTAATATCATCGATAAATTCTTATAATTTTGATTTGTTTATTATTATTTGTCTTATTTCTTCTCTAATCGTCATCGTCGTCATTGCCATTATTCGATCGTTCAGGTTACACGTTATTTAGATTTATCTTTAATACACAACTTATTATTAAACATGATTTTAATTTCTTTTTCTTTTTTTTATATCGTCATTTAAACGAAAAATAAAAAAAAAAGGATTTGTTTAAATTAACGTACAAATACATTTTAACCGTTGACGAATGATTTCGATCGATGGTGTCTTTTTTATTCGTTTCTTTTCTTTTTCTACTTATGCAACATTGTTTTTTTATTTCTATTTTTTCCTTTTCTTTTTTGTTTCACAGGCTTGCGGTGAACGACTGTGCACCCCAAACCTCGCGAGTCAGCTCGAATTTGCACAGCAGCAGTAGTATGGCAGTAAGCCGCGTTCCGAGCCCACCACCGCCGGAAGTGAACACCCCTGTTGCCGAGAATTGGTGTTACACACAGGTACGTACAACAACATGCCCATTGTGTTTTAAACCCAAGCTGTACTGAACACAGTGTCCGTTTCCAAGACGACCGACTAATCGACGACGATCGTATGTCCCGTTCGTTCATTCTAGATTCCTCTCTGTTGTGTTGAGATCATGTCTAACAAATATACACGTAGTCAAAGGACAGAGAAAGAAAGAAAGAAAGAGAGAGATACTGATTGTATTCGTTTAATTTTTTTTTTTTTTATTTATATAAGTCCGATTAAACTTATAAATAAATTAAACGAATGCGAACAATCTCTTTTTAGATTTAATATTAAATCGCAATGTGTAGAAAGAAATATAATTACGCTTTGAAAATAATCCAAACCGTCCGCCATCTTGTAATCATTTGAGATATTTTCTTCTCATAATTGCGAAAATATTATTTACCCGAATTTATATTTGTAAATATACATTTAACCGATAGAAATAACAATAAGTGTACAAGACAATATGACGCGTTAATTCTATATCGTCCGATAAATAAGATTGAAATAATATTCCTTTCGAATCGTCCTTTTCAATTAAAAGAGGTTAACGAACAATATCGTACGCGTACATACGTCATCAATTTTACACGAGACACCGTTTGAGAATAACAACGTCGATCTGAGGGTATCTACCTTATCGACAGTCTGACTCTACCATTGGCGTATCACTGTCACAGGAATACAGATATAAAATAAAACGAACGGATGATGAAGAGGAAAAATCGTTCCGATTGAAATATAGTTAAAAAAAAAAAAATGAAAAAAAACAAACAAACAAACAAATCGTTAATCCCTTAGCTTTGTTCTCGATTATTAAAATCTAACGAAATTGAATTCGATCAATGTTTATGGAATATTATGATGATTATTTTCAATAGTTAAGCAATGAGATTAGATTCTCGTTGGCGTGTCCTACGTATGATTATTGTTATTGTTATCGTTGTCATCATCTTCGTCATCTTCTCGTCGTATAGTAATTTCTTCTTGGTTCGCGAAGAGAGTACACGCGCTCCTGGTACTCTCGTTCTATTTTTACTGCTCGTCCCCTCACGATGTGAACGACCTGCAACTAGATATCTCGTTTCTCTTTCTCTCTCTTTCTCTATCTCTTTTTCTCCTTTCCTCTCTCATTCGGATTCTTCGACCCGAACGAGGAAACGTTTGCTGAGTTCACCGTGAAAATTCGCCAACCACGGAACTAACTATCCGACTGGGGGAGAAACGGGGGGGAGATCGGAGGGAGGAGGGGGAGCGGGTGGAGTACTCACGATACAAAAACCACACCACCATAACCCTTTTAAACTTCCGCCATTTCGAATAGTATAAACTCGTTGAAATGACTTTTTTCTTTTTCTTTTTTTTTCATTTATCTTTCTCTCTCTCTCTCTCTCTCTCTCTCTCTCTCTATAAATAATATAAAATAATACTCTTAGTGTTTTTTTTTTAAATTGTACCAATTGTTTGAACAGTTGTTCTTTAAGTATTCGCGAAACAAATAAATTGTGGAACCTTTTCTTTTTCACATTTGTTCATAAGAACATTAAATATGCACGCAACTTCTTTATCTCTTATTCCATCCAGTCAAGGTTCATCGTTCGAACGGGTATTCCGGGTTCAAGGCCGTTCGACGCGAAACGGTCACACGATTATATCATCGGCCAAAATTATTTTCTCTTCTGTCGTTCTCTTTTTTTTTTTTNCGTTCGAACGGGTATTCCGGGTTCAAGGCCGTTCGACGCGAAACGGTCACACGATTATATCATCGGCCAAAATTATTTTCTCTTCTGTCGTTCTCATTCATTCCTCTTTTAATCCTGTGATTTTACTGTCTCTCTATAATTATCTTTTCCGAAGTGAAAATTTCAAGTTAACGAACGTGATACAATATCTTTTTTCTCTTTTCAAATATCTAATACTTGTCTAATGTATATATATATATATATATATCTAGAAAAAGTATTTTTACTGCTATCAGTTCGAGTCTCTTTCATTTATAAAAATCCTAACACAGAATCAACAGTATAGAAAGAAAATATTATATAATATTAATCCAAAAAAGTAAATGCATCTCAAAAAGATAGGATACCAAACGAATTAGGGTAAACCAAAAATTCGTACGTTTATTGTGTTATAAACTGCACACAATGAATTGTATTTTTTTATAATATTTACTTTGGAAAATATTAATTTTAAAAAACGCACGCGAACTATTGAATTCACCCTAATATCACCGCGTAATATTATTTTTTCACTTGTACAAAATATGACAATCTTAATAACACGAAATATTAATTTTTGTTATTTAAAGAAGAAAATATAATATCAAAATAAATAAATTGAACAAAATGTTTGAAAGCAATGATCGTTTAAGGATTCGAAAGATCTTAGATGATAGTTTAACTTAAGTTGAAAGAGAGAGAGAAAGAGCTCGGACAGCTTGTCCACGAGAAGATCCTACCGGAAGTGAATAGAAAAGTTGGTTGGGTTGGGTTGGTGGTGGTTGAACCCACGGGCACACAGCGGGGCAAGGCAAAACAACACGACACGATAATACGGCACAACCAACAGTGGTACAACAAACACACTGTTGTTGTATGGTGTGTTCCCGTAAACGGGCACGGCTGATTCAAGGCCGATCGGCATCATGCTTGCCGAGCGTGTGTTGTAGCATCAGATCGAGTCTTCCTCGACGTTGTTGTTGGGTTGAACGACTTCATAGGCCGACGACCGATGATCCCCCCTCTTCTTTCATTTTCTTCTTCTTTCTCTCTTTCTCTGAACAACCCACCTGCTTTAACGCATACCGTATTTTAACGTCTCCTTATATATCACCAAAATGTACGGGTGGTTAAGGAAACGAAAAAAACAATCCTATCGAGGCCTAACTCGCAACGCTTGTTAAAATGATTTAAATACAATCTTTTTATTATCTTACAATTCACGATTCATTTTTGGTTATTTCGTCTCTTCGTCGTGAAATTTTCTCTTTAAGTAGTAATCTATTTTAACTTGCAGAAATACAAGCAGTGAATATATTAGAGAACGTATATTGAGGCTCTTTAACGAGTCACCATTGTGTCTCTTTAACTTATATTGTCTTTAAGATATTCTAAGAGAAAAGATATTGGTATTATAAACTTTTCTCCCTTTGTTTTTTTTTTTTGTATTACTCTGTCTAAAACCTTTTAAACATTATCTTGTTTTTATAAAAACAAAAATAGAAGAAGACATTAAAATAAGTTGCAAGTTGTTGGAAAGTTGTTCTCGTATTTATCATTACTATGATTAATTGTTATATATATAATACTTATCGTTATTTCATTTATTAAATCTTTCTTGAAGTATTTATTTCATATAATAACAAGAAGTATGCAATAATGAAACTTGGAAAATCCCCCTTTAAATTCGATTTAAACTATCTTCGTATCGTATGCCAGCAATAGAGCATGCGAGGTCATCACTAAAGGAACTATCTAGAAAGATAGATTTGGCTCTGGGCTTAGTTTCGTTCACCAAGGTCGTGCACACAAATGACGTCAGAGATCATTGACATCTGGGGGCTCGACCTCGTCTTCTTATTCTTATTCTTATTCTCCAACTCTTCTTCTTTTCCCTTAGGCGTTCCCTTTGCTTCGTCACCTTGTTGCCATGCATTTTTTTCCCCCTCTAATACATATCTCTAAAACGTGCACGTTTACCGTTTAAACAACTATGCTTTTATTCTATTTTTTTCTTTACTTTTGTTTGTTTTTTTACTTTAATTTTCTTGAAAGTACCGTCATTGTCATTGGATTTAAAAAATGGCGTCCATTTACTCGTCGTCAATAAAGAACTCTTTCTTATCGACGAGCAACACGATGGAATTAAAATAATTTGTAAATAGTTATTCTTTTTTTTTTTCTTTAAAATTATTTCTCATATATTCAATTAGAACCTTATTTATTATTTGTGTTAAAAAATGTATATCATTGATGTTGAGAAACACACATAAGCTTAATTAAAAGAATTAATTTCTTTCGGAGTAATAAATAGTTCATCTTATCGTATCTTCGAGAACAAGCATTTAACAAAGATAAAGACTATAGATGATTCTACTTATCACAAATATAATTACGTAAGCAAAAAACCGAAATGAAATTTGATTCTTCGACCCTGACTTATTCCTCCACCCAACACGTGTTAATACTTGTAGTACTTCGTAGCTTGTTCACTCGAACTCAAGGACAGTCTTGATATAGTTATATCCGTCCAGCTGTATGATGATCTGTGTACTTTGGGGGCCGCCTATCTCACCTCTGTTATCTCCATTTTATCTTTCCTCTGTCACGCCCCCTATCCCCGTAACGTTTGCAATTCCGTTAAATCTTCGCGCGCCATATTTGAATATCAAATTCAAATAATAATAATAATAATAATAATAATAAGCGAATGTACGAACGTGTATCATAGTACTCGTTTATCTGCGTGAATATTTTGATTTCCTTTTTTTTTTTTGATTTCACGCGCGCATATAAAATAAACGAATAATTAGATTAAGTTTAGATTCCACGAGATAGACTCTGACGTGGTGTCGCATTTGAAGGTCTTGTGTGCACAGGTGAAGGTGGTCAAATTCAGCTACATGTGGACGATAAATAACTTCAGCTTCTGCCGCGAAGAAATGGGAGAAGTACTCAAGTCGTCCACCTTCTCGGCGGGAGCCAACGACAAATTGAAATGGTAAAAGGGATTTCTTTTAACGAGAATAAAATTAATTAAACTTTAATTTATTTGACATTAATTAATTCTTTTTAGGTGCCTAAGAGTAAACCCTAAGGGACTGGACGAGGAGAGCAAAGACTACCTGTCCCTGTACCTCCTTCTTGTTTCCTGCAATAAATCAGAAGTCAGGGCAAAGTTCAAATTTTCTATTCTTAATGCCAAAAGGGAAGAAACCAAAGCAATGGGTAAGTCGAACAAAATAATTGTTAATCGAATAGGATATTTGAAAGATTTTTGAACAAAGTTTATTTTTAAATGCACGATCTATAACGAAACAAACAAACAAAAACAATTCCTACCGATTAGGAGATAGTAAAAGAATCTCGTAAAACAAAAAAATAATCCATTTAATTTATGTTTACAGAGAGTCAACGAGCATACAGGTTCGTTCAGGGTAAAGATTGGGGCTTTAAAAAGTTCATTAGGAGAGATTTTCTATTGGATGAGGCCAATGGGCTTTTGCCAGACGATAAACTCACGATATTCTGTGAGGTATATACCTTTGTATGTTAATTATCATACTTGTTTTATCGAACAACGATTATTAAGATAAAAATAACATTAACGATATTATTATTGTTATCATTTTAGGTCAGTGTTGTAGCAGACAGTGTTAACATTTCCGGACAAAGTAACACGATACAGTTCAAAGTACCGGACTGTCGGCTACCCGACGATCTTGGTCTTTTATTTGAGAACCAAAAATTCAGCGACGTTACGCTGACAGTTTGCGGAAGGGAATTCCAGGCGCACAAAGCCATTCTCGCTGGTGAGTTAAAAAATAAAACATCCATTCCCGTAGAAGAGGATGATAGGAAGACACCAAAGAATCATTCATAAACCAATAAACCAATAAATGATTTAAAATTGTCGTGTATACGAATGTATAGTTTGTCAATGTGTCAAAGTTTTAATAATTGATTAACTTGACCATAGGAAACAGGGTACTGAATCATTGACGAACTACACCGTAGAGACGACACGTTTCAGATCGTTGAATCGTTTTATTTATAGATACGTTATGATGAATCATTGACGAAATATTTCATAGACACTTTTGTAAATTATTCAATCGTTATATTCATAGATACGACGATCATCAATCATTCACCTACTACTATTTCATAAATATGTTCTAGAGAGAGAGAGAGAGAGAGAGAGAGAAGTGTTAGAAAATTGTTATTTATTTATTTATTTATATTTTTGTTTTATTTCTTATTTTTCAGCACGAAGTCCTGTATTTTCGGCGATGTTCGAACACGAGATGGAAGAGAGGAAACAAAATCGCGTCGACATAACGGACGTCGAACAAGAAGTATTGCGAGAGATGTTACGATTTATATACACCGGTAAAGCATCGAATCTTGAAAAAATGGCGGACGATCTTTTAGCTGCCGCGGATAAGTATGCGTTAGAAAGGCTAAAGGTAATGTGCGAGGAAGCACTCTGCGGGAGTTTAGCAATTGACAATGCAGCAGACATCCTCATACTCGCCGATCTTCATAGTGCTGATCAACTTAAAGCGCAAGCCATAGATTTCATAAATACGTAAGTTTACTTTGATCTCGAAAAATACATGATATATAATATATACGTTAAATATGACTTATTTTTTTTTTTTTAAATAGGAATCATCAACGTTAGAGACACTAAAAATATTTTGTCAATTTTATTATACATCAAATTATGAATGATTAATTTAGCAATAATTAATGTACAACATTTAGACAATTAAAATGTATTATAGGAATCTTCATAATATTAGAGTAATTATTTTAATTTTGTTAACTTTTTGGAATGTTTAGACACGCGACAGATGTGATGGATACGTCGGGATTTAAGTCAATGGTAAATTCCCATCCGCATCTGATAGCCGAAGCCTTCCGTGCGTTAGCAACTCAACAAATTCCACCTATCGGACCACCAAGGAAACGAGTTAAACAGAGCTGAAAGCAATCACCCCTTACTCCGGGCACAACATCCACATCGCCCCCACCACTTCTACATCCTTCATGACTTTTGTGTACAGTGATGATAACGAAGTAGTGCGCTAAATAAATGTTTCCTAGTGTGCGGCAGCTAACACAACAACTACTGGTCCAACTTTAACGACGCGATATATAATGCAACAAAATACAAACACAAGAAAAAAAAAAAAACAAAAACTTAAATAATACCATACCCACCAACACACACACACACACACAAAATACACGTACATATATAACATATATTCGTTGTGTGAGAAGAGAAAAATAAAAATTGCCGCTGTCATCGTCGTCGTCGTCGTCGTCGTCGTCTCTTAGAAAAAGAGAGGGGAGGATGTGTTTGAAGGAATGGTGGGCTAAGAGGGAGGGAGGGTTTATCGTCTTACGCTCATTCATTCTGAATTTGGTGTCAGTGATAATAGTGTGCGTGTGCGCGTCTTCTTCTTCTACTTCTATTTCTTCTTGTTAGAAAGACAGTGATTAATTAAACAAACAAACAAAAAGAAAAAAAAGATTAAAATAAAGTTTAAATGTACTTCTTTATTGGACGATGATGAACGTAAAAAAAAAAAAAAAACTCGATAGGCGATGATGAAGTATTAAAAATAACGAGTGGATGAGAGAAGAAAAAGCAAGAGGAATATTATATCGAAGGATTATTTTGCAACAATCTTTCTTCCCTGTCAACAACAACATCATCATCCTTGGCATCATCGTTGTGTCATCGTTGTCTTCATCATCATCGCGTCATCATTGTCGTCATCGTAATCTTCATCGTAAATGTTCGGGGGATTTTTTTTACCGTGCATTTTCGATTATGCGATGAACGGTATATTCTCACGAACGAAGCCAATTACTACTACTACTACTACTACTACACTACTATACTACTATACTATTACTACTACACTACTATTACTCCTACTACTATTACTTCTACTACCTTCTCCAGTTTCTAAAAACGTCTGGACGTTGTTTTAAATATACGACGATGATGATTAAAAAAAAAAAAATAATCCGTAGGCACGAATTGTGTTAAGAACAAATATTTCGATCGATCACAATTCTTTTTTTCGCCATCGGTTTTACAACTCACTCTCTCTCTCTCTCTACCTCTCTCTCTCTCTCTCTCTCTCTTTTTCTCTTTGTTTGTAGATCTTTTATCAATAATTTTGCTTTTTCTTCCTCATCTGAAAGAAAGGAAGAGGAAGGTAGAGAGAGACAAAAGAAAAGATAAAAATGCAGTCAGAGAGAATGAAGGATACAAAGAATGTATAAGAAGAGATTTGAATGAATGCATAAGGCATATATGATGAATGAATGGAATATAAGTGATATGAATGAGTGAGAGAACATGAAATTGAATAAGTAAGTAAGAAAGGAAGAAAAAATGAGAGAAGGATTGAAAACGAAAGGTAAATGAACGATAAAAAGAAAGAAACGTAAATTAAAGTAAAGGAGAGGATTTAAGAGAAAGAACCAACCAAAATAACCTTCATGAAGTTGGACATAGATACAAACAAACAAAACTAACAAATGACAAACAGCGAACAAAAAATTGCGTCGACTTGTTGTTATTCGACCATAAAAATTCTTAAATACTATACACGCGGAAGGAGAAGAGTTGTAATAGACGTTTGCGATTACCATAACCACCACCATCACCAACACCACCATTACTACTTCCTCTCTCCAAAAAAAAAAGATAAAATAACTTTATTCGAAAGATTATTTTTGCTCCTTTGTCTTTATTTTTCCATTCTTTCTCTCTAAAAGGATCAAAATAATGCTCCATCCCTTCCTGCCTGCCTCTACCTGTCCGATTTGACGCGATATAGTTATTATTATTATTATTATTATTATTATTATTATTATTAATATTATATATATATATATATTTTTTTTTTATTAGTTTAATACGTTAAACGTCAAGAATATAAGAAAGATAAGACGGAAGGATGGAAGGAAAGTAGAATTGGAATTCTCTTCCATTTTACGGATAAATGATTCTAGTTAGCGTTTTTTATGATCTCTTTCTCCTTAAACACATACGATTACTATTATTATTATTATTATTATTATTATTATTATTATTATTATTAATCAGCAGTTACACTACTATGATTACTATTAATACTACGCAATCTGTGCTGTATACGCCCCTTTGTAATTATTTTTCTTTCTTTTTTGTTCTTTTGTTTCTTTTTTTCTTTTCCTTTCTGTTTTGCGTATATTCTTATACGCATATGTATATGTTCTTCTTCTTCTTGGATAAAAAGATAATCTATTTTCTTTTTTGGATTAAATTTTGTAGTCGTTTCCTAGATATTTTTTAGTTTTACGATTTAATTTTCCTCTCTTTCTATCTGTCTATATTTTTTCTTTTTCTTCTCTGTTCGTTTTTTTTCTTTTCCCCCCTGCCCTCCTTGTTTCCACAACAATTAGGCACAGTTTGTTTTGTTTTCTCAAGTATTGCATAGTAGCTAAAGTGATAGATTTTTTTGATTATTATTATTAATTATTATTATTTTTATTATTATTATTATTGCTGTATTAAATTTAAGGTTGTCCATAATTTATCAAAGTCCTATGTTGATTATTATAAAAGAAAAAGAAACAAATAACAAATGTCTATGTCGTACATGTTCCCAAGAATTATACGTGTATTAATTAAAAAAAGAAAAACACAAAAAAAAAACAAAACAAAAAAATAACAATGTTATTAAAAGCATCGATAAGAGAAGATACGAATTTAATTAGATATCATTATTCTAATTATTATTAACGAAAGAGGAGAGAGGTGGTTAAAGCAAAAAAATAAATTAAAAGAAACGAAACAAACGTACTCGAAGATAAATTGAACATTGTATAAAATAAAATTTAGTCAATTATAATATCGAAATTATCAATTGTTTTTTCTTTTCTAACAAATTATTATTATTATTATTATTATTATTGTTATTATCATCATCGAATAATTGCAAAAAAAAAATCATGCAGTTTCGAAACAAACGTTGTAAATTTTGTCCTTTTCCGGTTGGTCTTATTCTTTTGGGGGTGGGGTTGAGGGGTTGGGGGTGGCTGTAAAAACCAAAAGGATACAAAAGTCGATCGAAATGATTAGGGTACGAATTAATTTTATTTTGGAAATTAAAATTGAAAAAAGAATCACGTTTAATAAATGTGTGTTATGCGTCTAACGCACAATAGAGAAGAGACCGTTCATTTTTAACGATAAATGTATTAATGTCCATTTTGCATTTGATTAATTTTCTTTTTAATTTTGCGTGCAAATGAAAATAATTCTTAACAATGTAACATCCTTTTCGTCATCGATTATTTTGTCAAACTATAAAGTAACTAACGTCGCGCTTGTTACTATTAAGAACAAAATGATAAATTTGAAAAAATCGAATTATGGGCAACCAACGTCAAAAAAAAAAAAATAAGAAAGAAATATTATCATCATCGTGTTAGAGTACTGTACTGGCTTCCCGATCCTCCCGATTTTAGTTTTATAAATCCGTAAATCTCGTTTTTTAAAGTACGATGATTATAAAATATAATACCATATTATTATTATATATATATATATAAATACCATTAACACATTTAAAAACAAATAATGCGAGAGGATGATTAATGCCATACATGTTCTGTGATAAGACCACTGTAATTATTGCAATTATGTATCATTGCTCTCCTCCCCCTTTCTCTTTTAGAAAAAAAAACAAAAACAAAATAATACAAAAAAAAGAAAACTGTCTCTCTCCGATGATAATGATGATGATGATGATGATGATGATGATGATGATGATGATGATGATGATGATGATTTTTTGGCAACTAGTGAGAAATAATAATAATAACAACAACAACAAAAATACAATTACACACATTTGTTAAGTGAATCAATAATCATTATAATTATAATCCGGGCAGTCCCAAATCTAGCATAATAATATTCTCGAAAGAAAAAAAATACAAAGTTTAATCCTCCTTCGATTTTAAGCTTTTTACTGTGTACATATCTCTAAACTGTATTTTATAAGAACCGAAGGAAAATAACAAACAAACAAACAAATAAACAAAATAACAAAACAAATAAACCGACACATGTAATAAGCATACACTTTTACTGTACGATAAACGAAACAAACAAAAAATATCATGATAATTTATTATTATATTTTACAGACTGTGCTAAACTCATGTTCCTTAAAAAACAAAAAAAAAAAAAAAAACAAAACAAACAAAAAAAGAGGAAAAAAGAAGAAAAAAAACGTGGAAAAAAAAAAAATGTAATAGTGCGCGCGGACGCTTTTTAAATTTAAAATACGTAAACAATAAAAATAATAATAATAGTAAACAAAAAAATAAATAAATAAATTACGTCGGGAGAATTATTAGATACGATTTTAGAAGCACGGATACAAATTTTTCTTTCATCCCGATATACTTATACGTTTATATATGTGTGTGTATGTGTGCGTGCGTGTGTGTATATGCGTTAATATACAAGGATAATATAAAAAATGCACACATGCTTAATGGCATCGAGATTTTTTTAGAAAAAAAAAAAACAAACAAACAAATCTTACGGGAAACATAGTTAAGACTTTTTCCACAGTTTTTTACACACGATCGTCCTTTACGAGAGAAGAGTAGATTGATAAGGCTTAATTAAAAAAGAAAAAAAAAAAAATATAAGAGATTTTGAGGAACACATTTCGAGGAACAGATTTTGGCCCCCATTCTCGCTCACACATACACACTTTTTAGGGAGAGAAAAAAAAACTTCACGTCCATTTAAAAAAAAAAGAAAAATAAAAAAACGAAAAAAAAGAAAAAAAAATTACACAACGCAATTGAAAAGAAAAAAAGTATACTAATAATAATCTATCTTTGGGACTGTACGGCGATATTTACACTATACCTTCGTGGAACTTGTGACGTTGAATGTTAACTTTAATTCTTCTTCTTCTTCTTCTTCTTATTATTATTATTATTATTATTATTATTAATAATTTTTTTTTTCTTTTTTTCTTTTCCCCTTTCCGGGGAGGGGGAGGGAATGAGTTATTATCAATCTGTATGACATTATTAAAAGAAAGAAAGGAAAAAAAAGAAAACCAACAAACAAGCAAGCAAGCAAACTACTAACTAACAACAGTTTAGATTAATATTGAATGATAATTTTTCTGAAAAATTAATTCGCAATAAGATTAATTCTATGAGCGTACGACTGCATAATTTGATATAAACTAAGTACAAGTAAGAGACAAGTGTTACCTCATCATGGAATTCAGCACATTCGTGTCACAATTTAGAGCTATAATAAATACCACTGCGCATCACTGTTTGTGGGTACATAATACACATACACATATACACATACATATACACTTCCATTGTATGTTGCATTTAAATTCAAAGAGACTTTTATAACATGAATGGTCCAACCCAGTGGTAATCGTTTTTTTAGTGCACGAGTGCTGTTCATCAAACCCAAGCTCATACAGACATTATTCATTTTTCCATTTACTTTAAGTCATTGCACCCACATCAAATAAATGACATTTTCATTATATAAATCATGTGAATTTATGCCTGAGTTTCATTACCCTTGACAACAACAACATTGCTATTATAGTTTTTATAAATAGTACATCTTTCTTGTTTCACATAATTTTTTTTTTCCTTTTTAAATCATAAAATTTACATTCTCGCGATATAAGAAAAGAAAAAGTAAATAAAAAAAGGGCAATGACAAGAATAATTTTTTGATAAGATCAATCTCTTATATTAGTTGATATCAGGGTCAGCAATTTTCACTTAAATAAGAGTTAAGACGATACCGAATATGTATTAATAGTGATGAGACAAATATTTCTTTAAAAAAATAAAATTATCCTAAGAGGACGAAGTGCAAATGTTAGAGTTTTCGTATAGAGAAAAAAAAGAAAGAAAGAAAATATTTTATGCTATAACTAATCAGATAATTAAGTTTCTCTCGAACGAGAAACATAAGTTCGTGAATGCGTTTCGATTATAAATCTTGGATAAAATATATTTGGAATGATAATTCGTTTGTTGTAACAGATTATCATTTGAAGTGAGAGAGAACGAACTATCGTTGCTGTGCGTCAATGCATAAGGTATGTTTGTGTTTATATATAAATATATATGTATAAATCTATATATATATATATAATTATAAAAAATATTGTATAAATAGAGATAATATTGAT